AGAGAAGTGTGGGTGTGGGGGGGGGGGGGGATATCTGGGGTCCTGAGGAACTTGTTTTGGCTGTGAAAGGGGGTTGTTTAAGCTTGGGACTCCCGGAGTTTTTTAAGCACTGACTAATTGCTGCTTTTGTTTCCATCCCAGGAGGTGGGAAGCATCATTGGGAAGGTAAGTGAGCAACAAACCCCCTTGCCCTGCCTCTCTCTTTCCCCCCTCCCCCCCGCCACGCCGCGGCCGCACTAATGCCTTTCCCTTCTCTCCCTCTGCACAGAAAGGGGAGTCCGTGAAGAAGATGCGCGAGGAGGTGAGTCCCAGGGTTGGAGGGATCTGATGGGGCCGTGGCGGTGCGGACCTTAAAAGGAATTTGCAGGCAGTGCGGTGCCAGCGGCACCGGCAGCAGATGGGAGCCGGCAGGCGCGAGGCATGCTGGGAAGTGTAGGCAGGGCTGGGCAGGAAGCCGAGGAGGCTAAGATGGCTGCCCGGAGCCGAGCCGAGGAAAGGAGGGAGGATTCATCACTGGCAGTGGATCCCAGGGGACCCTGGCTGCCCCACGCAGAACCGAGCTGGGCGCATGGACACGCTGCTGCTTTTGGGGGGTCCGAGTGGGGGGCTGGGAGCCCTGATGTCTCCTCGCTTTCCTCCCGCAGAGTGGTGCTCGCATTAACATCTCAGAAGGGAACTGCCCCGAACGGATCATCACCCTCGCTGGACCCACCAATGCCATCTTCAAAGCTTTTGCGATGATCATTGACAAACTGGAAGAGGTGTGTCTGCGGCCTCGAGCCCCCCTGCAGCGAGCTGTCCCCCGTCCTTGGATAAATTGACCCTGGGATCTGCCCTAGAGCGTGCTGTGGGGTCCAGAGTACGAGGAAAAGCTTTCCCTGGGGATGAGCAGTGGGATGGCCTTGTTGCGCATGGGCTGGCAGTGTTTTACCCCTGGGGCCTGATCTTTGCCCAGCTGCAAGCAGGGTCAATGTCCAGGCAGTGACGCTTCCCTGTGTGCGCTCAGCCATCCTTAAGCGGCTGCTCGCTGAGTGCCGGAGCCCTGCAAGGACTTTCCCAGCCTGAAAATATCCCGTGGCCACTGGTTAGGAGCAGTGCTTCAAAACTCCCCTGGCTTCCCTTGTCCTCCTGGGTGGTCATGCTGGTTCCCCTTTGGCACGACTCGGTGGACAGCGGGGGCTTGGCTCTGTCTGTCCCTGCTGAGACGGGGACCTGGGGGGTATGGCTTCGCAGTGCTGAAGGAGGAGCTGCATCCTTGAATCGGTGACTTCCAGGGGGGGATGTTGATCGTGGATAACCTGGATCCTGGCTGCGGGTGTTAAAGCCTGCTCAGGGCCGTGGTGTTGAGGAGCTTTCCATCCTGCTCCGCATCGTGTGGAAGGTGTGATGCTTCCTGCCTGGTGTGGGGCAGAGCTCCATGGCCCTCACCTCACCTGTGGGGGTAAAAATCCTGGTTTTGTCTGGATTTGGGACCCTTTCCTGGGAGGAGACAGCCCAGTACTGGCAGATCTGTCCCCAGGGCCCCTCTGCTCTCGCAGCTTCCTAAAAGCCTGCTGAGCCCAGAGTTGTTTCTGCCCTACCCTGAGAGCAGGAGTCCTCAAAGGGCTCCCTGTCCAAGTGTGGCTCCTGGCTGCCGGCGCTCCAAGCGCTGGGCTCAGCGTTAAAAGCTTTTATTTTAGTAGGTCAGTTGAGCCGTGGCCTTATGCCTCCCCTCCCCCTGCCAGCACATGACCGCTGTAATCGGCGCCAGGCTTGTTTTTTTCCCCCGGAGCTGCTTCTGCCCTGATCCCCCGTTACAGCGGGAGGTTCCGTGCTGAAGCGGGAGCTGTGGATGCACTGAGCCTGCAACCACTTGTCCCCCTCTAGCACTGGCATGGCCGCTTCCCATTTGGCTGTGGTGTGACCCAGCTGGTGCCTCTTGTGCTGGGCTGGTGGAGGTTAAACCCCCGTTTTCATTGAGACAACAGAGTTTGGCGCTCTCCTTCCCCAAAATATGGCTGTGTTGTTTCTGGGCTGCTAACAAAGTCCTGGGAAAATGGGACTGGGAGAGCCCCGGGGTCACCTTGGCCTTGCCTGCCTGTGCCGGCGTCATCTTCCCCGTCCCTCTGTCAGGCACGTCACCTCCCTGCGTGCCGATCTGGCGAGGGCACCACGCTGGGCTGGCCCCTCTGAGTAACTCCTCTTCCTCGCAGGACATCAGCAGCTCCATGACCAACAGTACAGCTGCCAGCCGGCCCCCAGTCACTCTCCGGCTCGTGGTACCTGCCAGCCAGTGCGGTTCCCTCATTGGAAAAGGAGGCTGCAAGATCAAAGAGATAAGAGAGGTTCGTGTCGGCCAGCCCAGGGTGGGGATGCACAGGGTCCGGGTGCCCTCAGGGGCAAATCCTTGCGTCAGCCCTCCGCCCCGGGTGGTACCACATAGTAGAGATGTGGCATCATTCGACCTTTTTAGAGCTTCTTGTATTTTTAGTGCTTGTGAAACCGAGACTCAGGGCAGAGCCTCTCTTTCCCGGCACTGTCCCCCACAGCAGGATGCCTGGGTTCCTGCTCCCCCCTTCCCTGGGCTCTCAATCACCCCCCACAGCCTTTTCCCAGTTGTTGGAGCAGGGGAATGCGCTGCTGGGCCTGTGCTGCCCTCGGTAACTGGGCGCTGCTGACCCTGGGTTGTTGGGGGATTAACTCTGTCCAGCTCTGCTGGCTGTGGAGATGGGTTTGACTTGGGTTACAGGGAAAAGCTGCAGCCCAGGTCCTCCTCTCCTGCCCCAGGCTCCTGATGACTGAATTATTTCCAGCTAGGATTAAAGGACTTTATTTCTGGGGAAAGGGCGGGGGGCAGCAAGTTTTGGCTATGTATAACCCAGCTGCGGGGTTTGTTGCTGAGGTCACAGCCCTCGCTGGGGTCTGACTGCCTATTTTTAACCGTAAACTTTGCAGAGCACGGGGGCACAGGTCCAGGTGGCAGGAGACATGCTGCCCAACTCGACCGAGCGAGCCATCACCATCGCTGGGATCCCACAGTCCATCATCGAGTGCGTCAAACAGATCTGCGTCGTCATGCTTGAGGTAGGGCCTCCCCGCGGGCCCGTTTTTCCCCCGGGGAGGCACGTGTGCAGCGCAGGGATCCCTGCTGCCCTTGGCAAGCTGCGGCCCTCCTCGCGAGTGGAAACCGCTGAGGACAGAGAAACGGCTGCTGGGGGATAAAGGGATAGCTGGGGATTACAGCCTCATCCAGGTGAGGCTTGGAGCTGCTTAAAACCGGGGTCGAGCCAGGCCTCCAGAGCTACTCACGGACTAACGCTGTCACCCGTGGCTCTGTGGTGACCAATTGTGCTGCCCAGCATGGTGACACTGAGCAGCCGTGTCCTGCTTGTCCCAGGCCTCCCTTGCATGCTGCTCTGCTCCTTGGGTGTCCTCCCTCAGCCCCGTGCCTGGGATGGGGGAGAAATGGGATTGCTCTGCGTCCTCCTGAAGGGCAGATTTAAACCCAAAGCAGAGTGTTGGCATCTGGGGTGCAGGGAGGGGGCTGCCTGTGCCAGCAGCACTCGGTGTCTAACCTCTCCTCTCTGCCTGTCACCCAGTCTCCCCCGAAGGGCGTCACCATCCCGTATCGACCCAAGCCATCCAGCTCTCCCGTCATCTTTGCAGGCGGTCAGGTAAGGCCTCTCCTCTGCTCCTGGGGTGCGGGGTGGGGAGAGAAA